GGTTGTAAAATCAGCTGGCTCCCAAGCCCTTGTGCTGAGCCTGTGTATGGGGCTAAGTCGTATCCACTGTGTGCTGATTCTCCCCTCTCTGGGCAGGTTCCATTTGGGCCCTATGTTGAGACAATTAATAACTTGGCACCTGTCTCATCTTTAGGCACCAAAGTACCTTTAAAATCTGACCCTCAGTCCTTACTGGACAGGGTCCATTCCCGGAGGGTTCAGAAATCCTAGCCAGGATTTACTGATGATCTTGCCAGGGAAAAACTTTTCTCCCAGGACGCCTAGGAGCCAGGCATGGGGAGGGCACCTGCTACCTGTGAGCTTGCTGCAAAGTCAGGGGCGGATCCCTCTTCCCACTGGGAAGGGGCTCTGGATGCAGCGTAGCAACTGGAATGGGCTCGCTGGGCCCAGTCCAGCACCGGGGACTGACGCTGCTTGAAGGGCGTTAGATGAATGGGGGACTCCTGCCACCAGCTGAGTGGTTCCACCTGTCGGTGGTTCCCAGTCCCCCAGCCCCTGCGGAGGGAGCACCGCACCCCATTTCCTGTAGGTTCCCTAGGGATCAAGGTGGGGCCCTGCAGCCATCCCTAGTGCACCCTGCTCTGACATGGTGGCTTCTTTGAAACCAGAAAGCAAAGGGCGGGATCGGTCACTCCCTCCCTTCACACCTCCCGTCCCATTCCCTCCCCAACACTCCTGTTCTGTCCAAGGCAAGTCAAAGGCCTGGGATCTGCCACCCACTGCCCATTACACTCCCCCGCCCCCCTCTCCCTGGGGGCAGCCCCCCCATGCCAGGGGGCTGCAGCGGGAGCAAACGCCCAGCATAGTTGGGTGGGTTGTGGTCCCACACCCAGTGCCTCGGTGGTGCCTGGCAGTGCCCGTTGCGCAATCCGCCTGGCGATCGCTGCTTTGTTTTGCAGTTTGTCTGGGGTGGGTGGATGTTTTCGAGCGGGATATAAAAGGCAGGAAGCCGTGAGGGTGAATCACAGCTCAGGGCCCGCCTTAAAGGAACCCTGCCCCATTCCCTTCGGGCCAGGGTGGCTTGAGTCAGAGCAGTGCGGGGGAGGGAAGGAAACAGCAAGAAGTTGCCAAGCTGAGAATCCAGGTGCCCCCTTCCCCTGCCCACATCTGATGCTCCCTCCTCCTTCCGGCCCAGACCCCCTGCTGGATGGACAACATTGCTGTGGCTGGAGATGTTGGTGTGGGGAGGGCTCTGACCGGCTGGCAGGGAGCCTAACATTGCAGGGGGGGTGCCAGCGTGGCAGGGGAAGTGTCCTTTGCCACCCCCCACCCACCCCCCGTCATGCCCATGGAGCCGCAGACGCCTCAACTTTAATACTTCAGTGATTTTAATGACGTTCTCCCAGGCCCATAAAACCTGTTTGTGTAGTGACACTGGGCGGCGGGGGGGCTGTTTATCTCCCCAAAACTGCGTCAGCCGCAGCCACAGCCAGAATGAGTTGGGCTTGTTGTGCTTTCCCTTCCGTGCCCCCGGCAACGGGCTGTGAGCAGAGCTAGCTTGTAGACAGCATCCCCCCAGTGCAGTGCGAGAAGGGTTAACTCAGGGGCCAGGGGCCGGCTTATGTGTGGCCCCCCCCCCCCCCCGCCCTTGGAGTCCCCTACTATCCCCACTAGAGATTATCCAGCCCTGGAGAGACAACGGGGCTGACTGTGGTGGTGCAGGCCCCCAGACTCACAGCAGCCTGGGCTGCTGCATGACAGCATCCGGCTACCACTCACCGGAGCAGGGATCCAAACTGGTGACGGGCTCTGTGGCCCACAGCCATCCCCCTGGAGCCATTCGGTCCCCATGGAGAGCTAGAGGGCAAGTCTGGTCTGGCAGGCAGGACGCTGGCTTGAGCACTGGGGTCGATTTTCAGCTCTGTTACAGACTCCCGGGACAGGTCACTTGGCCACTCTGTTTCTCAGTACCCCACCTGTACTCTGGGGATAAAGCCCTCCCCTGCGGCACAGGGTGCTGTGATGAAAGGCCACACAAAACCCACCAAACACCCTATTCTCTCTCCTGTCATCTCTCTGAGTGGGGCAGGCTAGCTCCTGCTGAACACGCCTCCCTTGTCTTTACTCCCCTAGCACCACGCTCTGGCTTCACCTTCCCTGGGAGCCAGGAGAGGTCACGTAGGTAATTAGCAACCGAAGATGCCAGCGATCCTGTTTCCTCTGGATCGATCCCTCCAGCGCAGGGCCCTGCAAATTATTTCAAGCATCCCCGGGTCAGTCGGCAGTGCTGAGACACCAGGGAGTGCTGTGGGCGGGAGAGGGAGTCCCCTCTCGCTGGGGGCGCAGCCTGCAAACAGGGGTCCCGGGGTGTGAGGGAAGGAAGAGGAGGCGGCTGAGCTGATAGGAGCAGTGGTGTCATGGGAGCCTTGAACGGGTCGCGTCCTGCTCTCACCTGGGTTGGCATGAATCCTGTGAAGTCAGGGGAGTAACAGGGATCAGAATCTGGCCCCGGAGCCCACAGGACTGGCCTCATTATCCAACCCACCCAGTGTCTATTTCACGCTCCTGCTTACCAGGGCCGGGCCTAGTGGAGAATCCGGCTGCCCCAGCTTGTCTGACTCCATCACAGCTTCTCCAGCTCAACCCCGCGTCTCACCACAGCGCCCGGACCCAGACGGAAGGAGGCAGACGCAACATCACGGCAACACAGACAAATCCAGAAAGCTGCTTTTCTAACCTATCCGTGGCTCTTTGGAGCCCAGCCACCATGGTGATGGGCACCTTAGGAAAACTGAGAGTCGTCGGGCCAGCTGGAGGGGCCTGGCAACAGACTAGGAGTGGCCAGTGGGGATCATCTGGACATCGCAGTCCAGGCTGCTAGCCAGTTTGACCATTGGCCCCTTCAGCGACCAACTAGATGGAGCATGTTGTGTATTTGGTTGCCCCCAAGGATATAACAGAGCAGCTAACTGGTTGCCTCTGCATCTGTGGGTCAGCCTGGGCAGAGGCGCCCGGTCCGGAGCTAGTAGGCTGGGCCATGCCCACCCCAGTAGCAGTTACTCCACAGCAGAGTGTGTGGGCAATGCCTGCCCTGACCTCCGCAGCCAACACAAACCTCTGGGCAAGGTGGAAAGGGACCCAGTACAGAGGAAACACTAATGCTGCCTCCGACCTGGCTCTAGATCCCACCAGCCTCTAGCCAGGCCTCCTGCAAACAAGCGCGTGGAGGAGGTCTGCAGTGGGAAGGGCGGGGCTGTGTTGTGTCACCTGCCCACACGCTGACTCATCCCTTCGTTGTGGATCAAGGGAAAACAATGGGCCAAGAGAGCTGCCAAGGGCAGGCTTGGGAGCCGGTGCCCCGTGGAGGCCAGCTGCCGGATTGTGGCCAAAGGGGCCAGATGCCAGCACCCCCTGCCTCTGATTCTGGCTTTGCAGTTCTTCCTTCTGACACCCGGCACATTGGGGTGTAGCCAGATGGGCTCTAGCTCGTGCCAGCAGTGTAGCTGCTCTTGCCGAAACGCAGACAACTGGAGAGCTGAGCCTGGTGCAGCCTGCAGGGTGAGTCAGTGATTGACACCCAGCATGGGCTGCCAGACTGGGAGACTGGCACCTGTAAAAATCTGGTACAGGCTGCCAGAGAAAGCAGGCACGGAGCAGGTGAGACGGAAGGGTAACCGCTCACGCTCAGAGGGGACACTGGTCAGTTTCTGGAGGTGCCAGGGAGCATGATACCCGTCCTCAGCAAATGTTTCTTTAGCCTAAACCAAATGTGGTGCTGATGGGCTGAGATGGCAGCAACTCCACGTGCAACAAGCCGAGTGACACATGCGTGAGACTGGTGTACACTTAGTGCGAGTGCACGGAGTCCATGTGCAATTAGCCGATTGACTTGGGCAATCGGGATAACTGTGCCCAGAAGACCTGCCTGATTGCTTAAAATTCCTGGCCAAGGCCCCGGGTGCACCCACCGAGCCTGCCGGGACAGGACCAAAGGCGGTGGAAGGTTCCTGAACAAGCCAGCTTGCCCATGTGGCTCAGCAGGGCCTCTTACCACTGGACTTCTCCAGCCCTTGCCTGCTAGATCCAGTCCCACTATCTTGGTGCAACACAGGCCTCTGGCCAAGCCGGCCTCATCTGGGACCATCAGGCGTCAGCTTCTACCCGAGTCATCTGACCCAGTTCAATAAGGGGGCTGTTGGATGTGGCCCGAGGCTGTGGCGATAGCAGGGGAGGGGTTGCACCCCTTCGCACCGCAGGGATGAGCTAATAGGAATCCAGCCCCAGTTCAGGGCACACTCCAGGGGCAAGCGGGTGGCCCTCCAGGGCCGGGAGGGGTTCTGGCAGGTTTGGGTACTTCGTGCTTTGCCTCAGATGGGGCTTTCTCTTTGTTAGGGCCAGAATCTGCTCTTAGCCACTCCGGCGCCCAGCCAGAGGGATCCCACTGACTAGAGTAGCTGGTGGTAATGTAAGCTGCAGCTTTCAGAGCCGATGAAGTGTCAGCTTGGCTCTTTGGGGCGCAGGCACCATGGGGATGGGGTGATCACTGCCCTGCCCAGTGCCGCCGATTCCGCACCCAGGTCACAGATGGTCACCTGGGGGTGGGAGGTTAGAGAGAGGGAATCCCCCACTGTTTGGCTGGTGCCCGGGTGCTCCCTGCCGGCTGCCTCTCCCTGGTGTCGCTACGTGCCCAACCTTCCTATGTGCGTTTAGGCCTCATTCACCAGCGTGGCCCGTTCCTGCCGCAGGGCAGCGCTCTTTGCCCCAGGCTGGAGGAGGGGCGTGCGCCTCAGTGCAGCTCCCCGTGGCAGGAGCTCCAGCGGCAGCGCGGGGTATGGGTGAAGGTGCATCCAGCCCTCTTCTGTGCGGAGCAGGGGTGCCCCCCGTCCCCAAACGGCCGTGGTGCCTCTGGCCCAGCGGGACCCAGGCTGTGGCTGAGCCTGGCGCTCAGCATGGCGGGCGGGGAAGGCGCAGTGGTTGGAAGGAAGTCACAGAGGCAGGAGTAACCATCCCAGTCTCCTCCCTTCCCCTTCTCTCTGCAGATAATGCCATGGACCTGGCAGCGCTGCGGAACGACCTGCCCACCACCTTGGACAACCTGTACCAGGGCCACCTGGAGCAGGACCGACCCCAGAGCCTGCCCAATGGCCATGCCTTCCCCACCGGCGAGCGGGACAAGGCCGGGCTGCTGGCCGGCGGCGACATCAAGCGCTCACAGCCACTGGTCATCCAAGTCAACAGGTTGGGAACAGGGCATTGTGGGAAACTCCATCCTTCCCTCAACAACAGGGTCCCATGATTTTCCCAGCAGTGTGTCTGTCCTGCCCACTCGGGGGGGGGGGGGGGGGGAGAGCGAGTGTCTCGGTCCCCTTGTGAAGCTGTGATTCCTTCACCACCATTAGCCCCCAAGCCACATGGTCCTGGAAGGTTGATCATGTTAAAGCACAAGACTGGGAGTCAGGACTCCTAGGTTCTAGTCCCAGCTCTGCCACTGACTGGCTGTGTGACCTTGGGTGAGTCTCTTCCCCTCTTCATACCTCAGTTTCCTCCTCTGCAAAATGGAGGCTTGTGCCACAACCCTCCCCCACGGGGAGGGAGGGGAGCATCAGCTAGTGGAGGGATCCAGCAGGAGGAGACGGGGTGCAGCCTGCAAGGAGGGGGTGCTTGTTACAAGGCAACCAAATCACTCCACATGAACAGAAAAGAAACCAGAATCTCCCAGCCCCCGGGCTTGGGCCTCGCCCCTGGCACTGGCCCCCGGCCGTCCCATACAGCTTTACTTCCCAAGAAGCCAATGTACAGCCCCTGTGTGGCATTAACCCCCTATTCACTGGGATCCGGTAGTGCTGCAGCCCCTGGGATGGGGAAATGGACGTTTGTGGAGGCACCTTCCCTGCCTTTGAGCCTGGATGAACAGCACTAGGGAGAGCCAAGGGGTTTAGGGTTAATTATTAACTTGCCCGCCCGCCTCTAGTGCTCGGAGTCCCTTTAAGAGCAGAGTGAAATCACCAGGCTGCTGCTGCCTGCTGCCTAGGGTGCAGAGCCGGCTCTAGCGTTTTTCCCGCCCCAAGCAGCAAAAAAAAAAAAAAAAAAAAAAAGCCGCGAGCATGATCAGCGGCAGCTCTACCGCCGCTTCATTCTACAGCGGCAATTCAGCGGCAGGTCCTTCGGCGGCTTGCTATGCTGGTGCCTGGAGCCAGCCCTGCTGGGTGGGGGGTAGCTTTTGTTGGCACAGCTGTCAGTCCCTGGGGAGGGGCGTTTGCCTTCAGGCTCTAGATACTTTGGGCCTGATCCTCCGCCCTTTGTGCTGTTGTTTGCATCGGAAGGTTGTGTGGCTCATGTGATCTCAGGGTGGCTCACGTGTCTCTTACATGGGGGTCTGTGTGGCTCCCATGGGTTTGCTTTACCCTCTAACTGGGCCAAACACCGTGCTGCGCAGGGCAGGGCCGTGGCAGGCTGGGGGTGGAGAGCCAGGCCCCTGCACTGCCCGCGTCCTCACCCCAAACCTCTCCTTTCTGGCAGGAAGCTGAAGGAGGAGGAGCCGCGAGCCTCGTCGCTGCCGTCCATCCCCAACCCCTTCCCCGAGCTCTGCAGCCCCTCCAAGTCGCCCATCCTCAGCAGCCCCTCGGCAGGGCAAGGCCCGCAGCATGAAAGCGGCCCCCACGTAAGTGCACCTGCTCAGAGGCTGGGAGGGCATGGCAGCTCCTGGATGGGTTTGCTGCATTGGCCACAGCGGAGGCTGGACACATGGGGAATCATTGGGCCTGTGTGCCAGGACACCTGGGTTCTCTCCCTAGTTCTGGCAGGGGGCGGAGTCTAGTGGTTGGGGCAGTGGGGTTGGGTGTCAGGACTCCTGGGTCCTATTCCCAGCTCTGCCGCTGACCTGCTGTTTGACCCTGGGTGGGTCATTTCCCCCGTCGTGTTACTCAAGTACTAATGGTGCTAGTGCCCCACTGAACTCCTGAGCTGGGTCAGTCTGGGATGTGCAGGGCAGCTGGGCATGACGGGGCTTGACGAGGCAGGCGGTTGGTTTCCATAGGGATGGTCGGCATGGATCCCAGTGTGTTTCGACCCGCAAGCTTGTAATTATAGGTGGGACAGTTTCCAGGCACCCTTGGAAACTTTCCAGCACTTCCCACCTGACACCTCCCCAGGCAATCACCTGCCTCCTAGCTGGGTCCAGCACAACCGCTTAACCCCTGGTGTGCCGAACAATGCACCCTGAAAACACCAGGCACCCCAACACGGTGTGGCCCGCCCAGTGCCCCCGCCCCTGCTGGAGACCTGGATCAGTGCCCCCTTGTGCAGAGACTTTGGTGGGCTGGTACTGGGGGCGGGGAAAGGGACTGGCAGCCCCACGGGAGAGATGGGTCCTGTAACATTGTGGCACGGGATAATGAAATTCACTGATGCCACTAAACCAGGAGCAGTGAGGGCTGGGAAATAACCCTGAGAGAGAGACTGGATGGTTACTATTATTTAACCTCTGTGTCACTGTAGTGGTTAGCGATCAGGGCCCCACCGGGCTGAGTGCTGTATAAACCATCCCTGCCCCAAAGACCCCACAGTCAAGCCAGGTGGATGAGATGGGTTGGAGCAGCCCAGGAGAGCCAGGGAACAGCTGGGAAATGTAGCGGATTCTCGGTGGGAGCAGATGAGCTGAACCACAAGGGAGGGAAGTGGCTGCTCTTTCTAGGCTCAATTCCCTTTCCCTGGCAAATCTGCTTGGCTTTGCTCTCTGATCCCCGGAACTTGTTTTTCTCAAGATCTGGACCAATCGTGGTCACTGAAGATTTCACGGCACCTTTCTGGCCAAATCCCAATTTGGAAAGCTCCATTCCCCCTTGCTAAACTCCCCCTACAGATCAGTACCTTTCTTCACTCCCTGCCCTAAAGTATTAGGCAGTGTTGCTGAGGCCTGGCTCAAAGTGCTGACATGTTCCACCCCAGAAGTGGCTGCATTTCAGCAGGTTGGGACAGCGGACTCTATTTCTTCTATGTGAACAAAGTGCTTTGGGATCCTTTTGGATGAGAAGCCCTGTAGACATGTCAGTCTCTGTCCATGTGTCGGTCTTTGGCTGTTCCTTCAGGTTCGGAGGGACAACTGGACATAGCACAGGGACTCTGTGGGTTTTGATGCTGGCAGCTACCCCGGGTGGGGTGGGGAGAGTGGGATTATGTGTCTGTCCCTGGAAGAGTCGCTGGACGTCTCTTGGAGGTCTGTGTGTCCCGACGTGCTCAGATCTCGCAGCCAATTTACTGACTCGCTGGCAAGGAATAAGATTACAATTAAGGGCTTTGGAGAATAATAACTATAAAGGTTCCCTTGCCTTTCATCTGGGGCGTGGGTGCTGCTGGGTGAGCAGGAGGGGGCACTGGGGTGCTCTAATCCCCGGGGGATTTGATCACAGTCAGGAGGAGCAGCGGTGGGGCGAGGAGCAGACGGCCAGGGGGAGGGGATCGCATAGCCACGGACGGGTCACTTTCCCACAGGGTCACCCTGGTGCCAGCCCCATCCCTTCCCATTTCCCCCAGGGGTGTTGTCTCCTCTAGGGGGCATCTCGCCTGCCCGCAGTGCAGGTCGCAGGCGTCAGGGTGGTTCTGGGGAGCCCTTGGGTAGGGGATGGCACAGCCCCCTCCCCTGGAAAGTCAACGAGCCTTAAATCAACCCATGGCTGCCGCAAGACCCGAATATTCCCTGGGACGGTGATGGGGTCCGGCAGTATCCCGGCGCCACGGGGTCTGGGTTTGGGGCTCGGGTGCGGCCCTTCACCCCCAGGGCTGGGTTAGAGGGTGGGAGCTGGTGTCCCTCCCACACACACTGGGAGGTCCTGCTGAGAGGCCAGTGCAGCCATCCCAACAGGCTGTGGAGGCCACAAGCCAGTGGGACGGAGACCTGCAGCATGAGGCCTAACATGCTCGTGACAGTCTCCTCCCACCATCAGCAGCTCAGAGGCCTCAGTACAGCCCCAGCTGGGCAGCGCCCTCCCCCCAAGCTGAGTCCTACCACATAGGGGCCTTGCTGGCCTGACTGTAAATCGATCCCCTTTTGGCAGCAGGATAGAGATAAAAGGAGCCACCCAGCGGGTGTCATGCGGGGCCAGCCCAGGAGCTGCTTTATTGCAGCCCTAACGGCCGTCTGCCCCCGCCGTGTGCAGACGCTCAGGGCGTGGCTGGCGTCTGCAAGGAGCAGCTCAGGTGGCTGGTAGAGAACAGCCAACCATAGAAAGAGCCTCCTCTCCCCCACCCCCTGCCCCTAGCAGGTAGAACCAGCTGGGGAGAGAGGAGAAAGGTACTGAAGGAAACCTGAACCCTCCCTGCAAAGGTCACAAACTTCATGGCACGTGGAAAGGGGGAGCCTGTGGCTTCAGGACAGTGGCTGGCAGCTTCCCAAGCCACCCCATGGCCTGGGCTGCCTCCTGCCCCTCCCCGCTGGGGTCTGGGTGTTCAGAGCAGGGCAGCCCTCTGTCGCCCTGCCCCCTAGCACGGTCATTTGCACCAGTACAGAGTTGGGCGCACTCCCATGAGAGCTTTGCACTGGTGTTACTGACGACACAAGGCCCAGGGCAGCAGGGTTGGGCCCAACGGAGAAGCTGACGGGTTAGTCGGGCTCATCCAGAAGTCAACGGGACCCATATGGATCCCTCGGCCCCGATTCCTAAATCAATTCAACCAGATTCTAAAAGGGTTACTGCGCAGAGAGACGAGGGATGTTAACAATCCTAATCCTTTGCCCACGGGGAGATCTCAGACATTCACACAGTCCCCCAGCCAGGCAGGGACGGGATTGAATCTGAATTGCTCCACCTGCCGCTGACATTCAGCCACCTCTAGGGTGGGATGCAGCGAATGGGGCAGGAAGTGAAAGCGAATCCTATCCCCAGCTGCAACTGTAGGGCAGGATTTGAACGAGGTGAGAGCAGTTTGTCTAGAATACCAGCGTTAACACCTCATCAGAGTATTTTTTAAGGGGGGGAAATGTGAGAAAACTGTAGAGGCAGCATGATCCAAGGGGCGGGATACCAGCCTGGGAGTTAAGTAGCCTGCGTGCTGTTCCCTTAGCTGCTTTGTGACCTGTGCCTCAGTTTCCCCTCCCACTCTTTCTTAGTTCTATTGCAGTGGTGCCCAGGGGCCCCAGTCACAGAGCAAGGTCCAGTGGTGCTAGGTGCAGTACAAACGCAGAACGAAAAGACGGTCCCTGCCCCGAAGAGCTTACAGGGTCACGAGCTCTTTGCGGAGCGCCTGTCTCTCCCCCGGTGTCTGCGTAGGCTGGGCAAGTATCTGTGCAGTGTATCTGTGCCGTGCCCAGAGAACAGGCACAACAGGCCGGCTCTGCAAAGGGCATTGTTAGACGTATGGCCCAGTTCAGCAGGTGCGTAGCCCCCTCTGGTGGGTTAACTGGGGACTAGCAGGGAGGATTTGGTTTCAGCCTAGCCCCAGGTGCTGCTGCGCTTTGATTTCGTTGTAAATTCCTTGTGGGCAGGGTCCGGCCATGCTGCTGCTTCCTGCCAGGATCCCCTGGAGACGGACGGTCTAACAGGGATGGGAATGGGAGGCTGGACATCCGGGTTCAACTCCTGGCTCTCTCCCAGGCTTGCTTGCGTGACCGTGGCCACCTCACTTTGCCTCCATTTCCCTGCTAGGGGCAATGCTCCAGCTCCCTCTGGGGGGGCTGTTTGGGTTCAGTGCTGGGGGACACCCCTTCCCCCCGCTCCCGGGAGACAGCCCTGTGAAAGGGCTGTACGGCTAGAAACTCAATGAGCTTGTTACGTTCATAAAAGCCCCCCCCCCCCCCCGACCCCTAGCTGACTCACCTCACACCTCAATTTGCTACCAAGTACTGTAATGAGCATGGACATTACAACTGAGCCAGGAATGGAACCCAGGAGTCCTGTACCCCTAGTACCTGCTCTAGCCCCTAGATAACGTTCCCTCTGTGGCAGAGGCTAAGGCTACCTGGCAACCGGGTCGCTGGGCAACCCACATCCCTGGCACCACTTCCCCAGGCGCTGGGAGCAGAGGGACTCCGAAGCTACCTGCTCACTTACTGAGGGAGCCTGAGAGCCAAGGGGCACTCACAGCCAGAGGGGGGAGTTGCTGGGGGGTTTCATAGCTGAGCTGAGGCCAGTGAACTGCAAGAGGGATTTGGGCTCCCGGGGGGCAAACCTCCCTGTGCCAAAGGGTCAGCGCCTGAGAACTGCTCTATAACCCGGCCTCACGGGAGGGAGACAGAGAGAGCTGGTGTCGGGGAGCTCTGGCTTGGATGGGGGGAGGGTCCAAACCGTGCAGGGATCAATCCTGGGACCTTTTGCTCCAAAAGCACAGCCCGCTAGCACTTGAATTAAAGAAGCAGCTGCAGTAGAAGGTTCTTATCCTCTGCATGGAGCAGTTACAGCCAGCCAGCCTGGAGCACTTCATTCCACCCTGAAACCACCACTGAGATATTAACTCTCCTGCTTAGGTCTTACTCCGATCTCTTAGCTATTAGAGACCAAGATGAGACCCACCATGAGGGGTGGCAGATTACCCCACTGCTCCTGCAGGGTTCTAACACCTTCCTCAGAATCGTCTGGTGCTGGACCCTGTCAGGACATTGGGCTAGATGGATTCCGGGGCTGATCCTGGCTGGCAGTTCCTGTATGATCTCACAGTGCAAACACCCCAAAACTGGTCTTGGGGGACAATTGCTCTGGCCAGCAGGGGAGCAGGCGCGGAGACAGGCTTGTTAGCTGTCGCCCTGCTACCCTGCACACGTCACTGCCTCCCCTTGGGAGGGTGATAAACCTCAGCCCAGCGTGGGTTTGTCCTTGGGGCTGGCTATCTGGCTCTCCACACCCCGCCCTGTCCTCCACCACAGAGAGCATTGACCCAGCCCCTCGTGCATTCAGAACTGAGACGTGAGGAGGGGAGGGAGCCCAGGGAGTGTCCAGACTGAGGGGGCAGGGCTGTGGGAGAGGGGAATGAACCTGGCCTGGCCTCTGCCCCACAGGTGGTAAAGGTCTTCAGCGAAGATGGCACCTGCCGCTCGCTGGAGGTCACGGCAGGCGCCACGGCCCGCCACGTCTGCGAGATGCTGGTGCAAAAGACTCACGCCCTCCACGATGAAAGCTGGTCCTTGGTGGAGCGCCATCAGCACTTGGCTCTAGGTGAGGAGGCACGTACACCCCCAGGGGAGCCTTGCACGGCTGGCTTTGTGCACATGGCCACCAGTGTGTGTATGCAACTAGGAGCTTGGGGAGAGACGTGTACAGCTGGTTCTGGGCACGTGTGTCCACTAATGCCCAAATGCAAACACAACTTTTGGGGAGGTTCATGCTGCCAGGTCTGTGCGTGCAACTGCAGGCTTGGCTGAGATCAGCCGAGGGACTATTAGCCCCCGAAGCACAAGCTCCTACCACTTGTGCTAAGAGAGCAACTTGCTGAGCTGGGGCAGTGATGAGCTGCTGTAGTCTCTGAGGCTGGCCGCTAGAAGGAGACAGGCTGACCCAAGCTAAGCCAGCGTGCTGTGGTGCATGATGGTTGGCAGGGCTCTTCCCTGACCCTGTGGCTTTCTCCTCCACAGAGCGGTGCCTGGAAGACCATGAGTCGGTGGTGGAGGTCCAGGCCACCTGGCCCATTGGGGGAGACAGCAGATTTGTCTTCCGGAAGAACTTTGCCAAGTACGAGCTGTTTAAAAGCTCACCGGTAAGTGCCTGCTGACCTTGCTACTGGGCGACCCAGCCCAGCATGACCTGGAGGGGTGGGGGGCGACCGGCCTTATATGTCTTGGACTCCAGTGGGCAGGACACAGGCAGCATCCTAGGCACAGAACAGCCCTGCCTGGATAGAAGCCAATCCCAGACACACATTGACCTGACCAGAGGGGACCTGGTGGGGCTCAGAGGAAGAATCCCCGAAGCTGCTGGGAGATCTGGCTGCCTTCCCTTCTCCTGAACCCCCAGGGTCCCGGAGCTGCCCAGCTGGGAATGAGCTTTGAATATGCTAAAGCAACTGGACTAAGCATCTACCCCTTACTGCCAGGAGATTAATTCCAGCACCACCCGGCATTAATTGGACAGCTGCCCAGGGCACCAGGAGGTCATCCTTACACAAGCTCACTGGTCCTGATCCCAGGGGAGCCAGTCCTGGTCCCCGGCCTGACGCGGGGGGCTGCTATGGTGCAGAGCCCTTCTGCTGCACTTGTGCTTGCCCCAGAGTCCCCGCTAACCATCTTCTCTCTCTCTGATCCCAGCAGTCCCTGTTCCCCGAGGTGATGGTCTCCAGCTGCTTGGATGCCAACAAGGGCATGTCCCACTCGGAGCTCATCCAGGTATGCACTGCCAGCCTGCCCTCCTGGCACTCATCGCCGGAGCCCAGTTCTGACTCCAGGCCACATGGTTTGAAGCAGGAAAGTGACCCTGGGGACTGTCCATAGGCACCGCCCACAAGCAGCTTCGCCCTATAAACAGGCATAGCACGACCCTGCAATGGGGTGGGGAGAAAGCGAATGCACCTGGGATAAACCCGCCCTGCAGCCTCTTAGTCAGAGAGCTTAATGCTTGAGCTGGAGGCCTGATAGCCTCAACCTTTGGGGCCAGTTCAGTGTCATCTCTTCCTTCCCACGCTCTCCCCGACCCCTTCTCTCCTGCAGAACTTCCTCAATTCCGGCAGCTGCCCAGAGATCCAGGGCTTCCTGCACCTGAAGGAGGTTGGGCGCAAGGTCTGGAAGAGGTTTTACTTCTCCCTCCGCCGCTCAGGGCTTTACTACTCCACAAAGGGCACATCTAAGGTGAGGCTGAGCCCACCCTGGGCAGAGTTGACCCTCTCCTTCCAACAGGTCTCCCCAGCACCACTAGGGGGCACCGCAGGAGGGGTGGGGCTGAAGACATCCTATGGCCGATGGGTTTCCTATAGAAGTGGCTAGTTCTTAGTTACTTTGGGTGGAGTGATCTGAACTGTGCCCTCTATGAGTCACAAGTGGGGCTTGAATCCTGGATAGATAGCTCAAAGCACAGGACGTACCTCCCTTGGACTAAAGGAATAGCTCCCTTAGCTGGTAGCAGTAGTAGGCTCTTATCCCAGTATGAAGTGCTACATGCCCTATTGATGCTACACAGACGTCACCCATGTGCATGTTGTGTAGGGCTCTGTCCCCCTCTAGTGGTGGCTGGGCCACACACGCATATTGATGAGCCTGCTGCAGCCCTTGCTAAGGGAGCGGGAGCTTTTTGCTCAGGCACCAGAGGCCCCTCTAATTCAATCCAAAGGTTCCTGGTTCAGTTCCCCTGCTGAGAACCTGCCCAGCAGACTGACTATTAAAGCAGAAGTGATTTTTAAAACCCTTCCTTGACCTTTGATGCCATTTAAATCTGCCCTTCATTCCCTTGAGCCAGTTATGATCAGTGTTTATTATGGGTATTCCACAGGCCTGGTCAGCATGGGGGCCCCGTTTTGCTAGGTGCTGTACAAATGCATGGGGAGACCCAAAGAGCTTAGAGACCAATCGGTTTCCCTACCTCTGGCCAGTCAGTTTCCCTTCCTGGTGTTCATGCTCTAGGGCCACGGTGGCTCCTGGGTTTGAGTCCCCTGTGCCATGTGCTTGGGTCACTGCGGCGTCTGGAGTCTGGTCTCTCCGGCCCTTCAGGGTGCTGGATGGGAAGTGTCCTGGTCCCTGGTCCCCCTGCCCCATGACTGCCTCCCCTAATACAGCACATGCTCTTCCTTCCTCTCCTCCCCCAGGACCCACGGCACCTACAGTATTTTGCTGACCTCAACGAGTCCAATGTCTACTTCATCACACAAGGGAAAAAGTACTATGGCACGCCCACCGAGTTCAGCTTCTGCATCAAGGTGAGGGAGGCCAAGGGATTTCAAGGCGGTATGGCTGCCACCTGGCACCCTAGAGGCCTCAGCGGTGGGTGAAGCAACCCCTGCCCAAACAGGGCCAAATCCATCCCTGCTGTAAACCCAGCAGAAGTGAGGAGGGTTACACCAGGGGCCCAGTGCGCAAAGTCCTTTTGGTCGCTGTTGAGGTGGAAGGGACCAGCGGCAACCATTAAGGCCGTGTGGTTAGCGCAAAGGAGGGCTGGGTGTCAGGACTCCTGGGTTCACTTGCCAGATTTGATTGGAGTGTAGAGCAGAGGGGCCTGGGATACAGGACTCCTGGGCTCTGTTCCCAGCAATTAGAGGAGATTGGGGTCTACTGGTTGGAGGGGCGGGAGGACTGGAACTCAGGACTCCTGGGTTCTTTTCCCAGCTCTCCCAGAGATTTATTGGGGCTAGTCCGTGCCTCGCTCCCCCCCTCCCCCGAAACAGGGCTAACAACTTGGGGGGCTTGGTTAGCGCCCGGGGAGCTCTGTGCCATCGTCTTCTGGCTGGCGCTGGAGACGGCCCCTTGCGGTTACCGTTGTTGCTCTGCTCTGCAGCCCTACAAGGTGCGCAGCGGCATGAAGGGCCTCAAGCTGTTCTGCAGCGAGGACGAGCAGAGCCGCACCTGCTGGATGGCCGCCTTCCGCCTCTTTAAGGTAAGAGCCTCCCGCCGGCCCCTGCACCTTGCTGCCAGCCCACTGGCAGGCTAGAGCGGACAGCGACACCTGCTGGCGGAAGCGGGGACTGCACTTCGGTTCTGTTTCCTGGGGGAGCTCAGCACCACCTGGGCTGGTGAGGTTCGTGCTGCTGCTTAGCACCCCCCTCTTGGCTCTGAGGCTGCCGATGCTAACGACGGCTGCTTCCTTCCCAGTATGGCGTGCAGCTCTACAGGAACTACCAGCAGTCCCAGTCCAGACGCAGCCACCAGTCTTGGATCAGCACCACGCCCCTGGTAAGCGCCTCGCCTGAGCCGCCTTGAGAAGCTTCCTTTGCAGCGTCTCCACGGGACACCTTCCCCATTTTCCCCTGGCTGGCTCAGCAGGTTGCGTTGGCTCAGTGGATTCCAAATTGCAGTGTACTGGGGAGGCCCCATTCCCACATTCTCTCTACATCCTTCCTCACTGACATGCTCACCGAAAGGGTAGAGCCCGGGTTGGAAAGGATCTGGACAGGCGGCAGCTGTTCACTGCCCTCGTTGTTCCAGGCCGATGTTCTCCTGTGTCGACACCTCCGGATCTCCTGTTAGCACAGCAGAAGATGCTGTTTCTTCCTCCCGCCACTGGGGGTGTGGTGAATGCCTTCAGCCTAGAGAGCTGGTTGAAAAATGAGGATTTTTCCTTGGAAAGGGGTGGCAGTGCATCATGGGAGGCCCTGGTGAGGGTGCATCCTGGGAGATGTAGTCCAGCTGAGGAGCCTGGCCCATAGAGAAGAATGGCAACACGGGCCAACTGAACTACAGCTCCCATGAGGCACCGTAGCAGCCTTTCCAAATCAAACCTTTTTGGGCTTGGGGGAGTTTGTTTTTCAGAAATTTCACATTTTGTGAAAAATGTGTTTCATCAAAATCCCAATTTCCCATCAAAAAAACAGTTTCAATGGGAAATTTTCGACTAGCCCTCCCTGGGCTCCTCCACCTCTCCCAGGGCGTGGGAGCGGTGCCAGCCAAGCTGCCCAGCAAGGCACGGTGCTGTTGTTCAAACAGAACTAAAGGCGAGATGGCCTCAGACAGCACCCTCTAGAGGAGGAGCCTGTCAGCACTGGGTGGCCAAGGGAGGACAAGGAGACTGGTGTCTGACCAGATGGAGCCCTTTTGTGGGTTACATATCAGGTTCTGTCTGCACTGCTCACCTGACAATATCTCCCTGAGGGCGACCTCTCTGGAGGGCATCTATCGGACCCGGTCACTGGAGAGCGTCAGTCCAAAGTGACATTCCCTGCAGGACCTATGCAGATGATGGGGCAGTTAGTTGAGGCAGAGGCTGGGTGGTACCCAGCGATGTAGCTGGCCAGGAAATGTTTCCTTTAAAATACCCAGGGATCCATGGACCGCGGCGGGATTTTATCATGCCCATAATGGTGCTTTGATTTTTAAGTCCATTTCATGCTGGGGAAAGGTGCCCAATGAAGAGCCCTGTTTATGCCCTGAACAGCTACAGCTCAACACTGAGAGGCCCCCAGACCCCTCACTGACGGGACTCAGGACTGACATAATGGGACCCTCTCAAAGCTGCTTACAGGGCCCTGAACTGTAGAGCTGCAGGCGGTGTCCCTGTCCGACCGCTCCCGTCTTCCAGTACAGGGTCCCCGTTCCCCACCCCCGTTGCTGCATCTCTCCTCAGCTGCTGTTTCATCCCACAGAGGAGCATGTCTGACAACACCTTGGTGGCCATGGATTTCTCGGGGTGCACGGGCCGGGTGATTGAGAACCCCAACGAGGCGCTGACGGTGGCCCTGGAAGAGGCTCAGTCGTGGAGGGTGAGTCCATGCTTCCATGCAGAGCTAGAAGTCAGAGGCCGGGTAGGGAAGCGGGCTGTGGCTGGAGGCGGTGTTCAGGCCAGGCATCTTCATCAAGCTGTCCAAGCAGCTTCCAGCGGGTGGCTTATCTGCACAGAGAGCTGCACCGGGTTAGCTTAAACAATTAAACTGTGATATGGGCTGGTGGATGCAGTGTTGTTGTAGACGTGTTGATCCCAGGATAGTAGAGAGAAGGTGGGTGAGGTGATATCTTTTGTTGGACCAACTTCTGTTGGTGAGAGAGACGAGCTTCCAAGCTCCACAGAGCTCCTCCTCCGGTCTGGGAAAGGTGAGATCGTCTCAGCCCAGCTCCATCAGCGTCCAGTGGGATGCTCTGGTGAGTGTATGGCGGCACAGTGCCATTGCACCAGATTGGAACGAGGCTACGGTAGCCCTCACATCGCAACCTCCCACTGCTGCAGCCTGTGCTCTCGCCCTCTCTGGGTCTGTCATATCCTTGCTCCCAGGTCATTCCCATCATTCGCCGCGGCACTCGTTTCTGGTTTGATTTTCCATGAAAGTAGCATTGCACTAAGGCCTAATAACAACACCCCATAGTAATGCCCTGCTCCTTGCTTTCCATGCCGCAGAAGAAGACGAGTCACCGCTACAGCCTGCCAACTCCCTGCCAGGGCTCCCCGCTCAGCACAGGTGAGTGGAGACCCCTCTACCCAGCTCCGGTAGGCTGAGGGTCACACAGGGAGAGGTCCTTCCCAAAGGAATTCTGGGCTTGATCGACATAATGGTCTCAAGTTGCAGTGGGGGAGGTTTAGGTTGGATATTAGGAAAAACTTTTTCACTAGGGGTGGTGAAACACTGGAATAGGTTCCCTAGGGAGGTGGTGGAATCTCCTTCCTTAGAGGTTTTTAAGGCCTGGCTCGACAAAGCCCTGGCTGGGATGATTTAGTTGGGGTTGGTCCTGCTTTGAGCAGGGGGTTGGACTAGATGACCTCCTGAGGTCCCTTCCAACCCTGATATTCTGTGATTCTATGAAGGGGAGCCAGAACCAGACACTGAAGGGATACAATGAGCCCAATTCCTCTGAATCTCCTCACACACAGCACACCAAGTGGGTGGGAAACACTAGCAGACCAGGGTGGTTGTATCTTACACACACCCTGCACTGGTGCAGACGGAGACACAAAGTGGAGGGGAACTTGGATTGGGGCTTGTTCCAAAAGTGAATTTTGAAATTAAAAAAAAAAACAAAAAAGATTTTATAGAATCTAAAATGCCGCCCTGGATATTCTTCTAACTTTGGTTATAAGGAAATCTGGGGACTGAATTGAAACCTTCCCCAGTATCTGATCTACATGGTGGATAAGGGCCTACTACTGCTGCCAGCCAAAGAATGGTCTTGTAGCTAAGGTGCTCAATGGAGACTCGTGTTCAATTCCTGGCTCTGCCACAGACTCCCTGAGTGACCTTGGGCAAGTCATTTGATTTCTCCCTATCTCAGTTTCCCCTCCTATCCTTTGTCTTGTCTATTTAGCCTGGGAGCCGTTAAGATAGCACCTAGGAGGCGCAGTCACAGACCAGGACCTCATGGTGCTAGGCACTGTACAGAGACAGAACAAAGAGACAGTCCCTGCCCCAAAGAGTTTGCCTTTTTTTCTCTTTCTTGCTCTCTCCAATGCCCCTTCAGTTTTGCAAACCCCGATATACCAACTTTCTCTGTGAAAGGGTTTGTAAGAGTCAGATCAAAAAAGCTTTTCTTCCTCCATTTTCTTTTCTTTTCTCTTCTCAGCCATCCATCGAACGCAGCCATGGTTTCACGGGCGGATCTCAAGGGAAGACACACAGCGATTGATAATCCAGCAGGGATTAGTGGATGGGTACGGAAAGGCTTTGAACACTGATTATATGGCTTCTATTAACTCGGAGTAGGCATTAACTCAAGGGACTCCCTGCTGCAGGATGTCAGTGAGGCCAAATGCTTAGCAATGTTCCAAAGACACTTGGACAGCGATTTAATCCCCAGTCTCACAATATTTTGCTTAAAGTTTCCTTAAAGCCATTTTTCTTAAAGCCCAGGCTTCTGGAGACATGTAATGACATGAAAATCTCAGCTTTTTTTTTTTTAAGTGAGTTTCTAGCCATTGTGGTTGCAGAGAAAATGTGACCCCTACTACAGGCTCAAAACCAAGAAGGCAAATAAGAAACCCCCAATTTTTTTTTAAATAATTATTTTTAAGATAAATCTCATGCTTTTTGGGGCCTGACTTGAGTTTTTGAATAATTGAGGTTGGCAGCACTGCTTTTGTGGATAAGATGAGCACCAGCAGCGATGCTAGAGAGGATAAAATAATAAAGCTTTTGATCTTCATGCTTCAGGGCACCCATCAGTTCTGGGGTCAGGAGGGAATGTCCCTCCTTGAGACAGGGCTGTGCAATTAGGCAGGATTTTATGCCTTCAGGTTACCCAGCACAGGCCACTGTCTGGGACAAGTTCGTTGCCAGCTCTCACTGCAAAGGGTTACAGTACCCCTTGGTCATGGCATGAGTTTGGCTGCTTTCAACAGCATTCCACGTGCGGCTGTGTTGTTTTCAGCTGAGCTGACTGAAAAGCTCAGATGCTGCTCTGGGCTCCCCCTGGTGGACAGAAGAGGTTGGGTGGGCAGCAGCAGCGTGTTGGTAACAGCCTCCTCTCTTGTTTTGATTTTTTAGGGTGTTTTTGGTGCGGGAAAGCCAGCGGAACCCCAAGGGGTACGTCCTGTCCTTGTGCCACCTACAGAAAGTCAAGCACTATCTCATCCTGCCAGTAAGTGCCCCTCCCCAGCCCCAGCTGCCACGGACTGTGCCCTCCCAGCAATATGGGTGAGGGTGCTTTATGAACTTGCTCAAGGAGCAAACCCATGGGGAGGAGATTCACATATAGGAATGGTGTGGAGCTCTCAGCTACTCCAGCCCGGGCCTTTCCCAGCAGGGGGTGCTGTAGGGAACTGTAGGGATAAGAGTGTTGGCTGTGGGGGGAGCTCCTGTATGCTCCAGCCCTGGCCTCTCCCAGCAGGGGGCGCTGTGGGAAGTGGGGCAGGAGCACTGCCTCTGTGGGGCGCTCACAGCTACTCCAGCCCCAGCCTCTCCCAGCAGGAGGCGCTGTGGGGAGTGGGGCAGGAGCGCTGGCTATGGGGAGCTCCCAGCCTCTCCTGTGTGAGTCCCTGAAGAGAGACCTATAATAAGATAACTCTAACCTTGGGAACGCTCCCACTCCAGTCCCTCCAGTGAGAGGTCCCTGCAGCAATAGCGTAATAAGTTTGTAGGGGAGCTGTTCCCAGGCTGCGCTGTCCAAGCATGGGCCAGGAGAGCTAAGCACACACCTTCCCACCCCATTTCTCTGCAGAGCGAGGAAGAGGGGCAGCTTTACTTCACCATGGACGATGGCCAGACGCGCTTTGCGGATCTCATCCAGCTGGTGGAGTTTCACCAAATCAACCGGGGCATCCTGCCCTGCAAGCTCAGACATTACTGCACCTGCGTCGCCTTGTGATAGGCCCCCGGTGGGTGGCAGGGCTCTGCGACGGGCCACGGCCAACGTGCCGCCAGCAGGACTAGGATCAACTCAAACTTCTGCCCCTCGCCCCACTTCGGCCAGGACAGCGACGGCTGCGGGGGACAGACCTGGCTCGTGCTCCACCCACTGCTGGGGTGTCAGTCACCACTCAGCCCCGTCAATGAGCACCGGCCGGGTGAGAGGCCGGGATGGTACCCCCGGCGCCCAAGGAGCCCGAAGGACCGAAAATCACCGTTCCAAAGGGAGTCCTCGCCCCTGTGCTTCCACCAGCTCACAGCCTCGGATCACTGCTGCCCCTCCCCCTGTACCCCCGCTCCTCTGCCCCATATCCCTCTGTCCTGTAACCCTCCATGCGTGTATTCCTCTTCTCACCTGTATCCCTGCGCCCCCAGCTCTGCCCCAATGTGCTCTATCTGTTTTGATCCTAGAGTTTTTCCTCCCTCCCCACCAGCTACTCAGTGTTAATGGTCGTATTCTCAGTGCCCTTGGGAAGCCAAGCCGGGAGCTTGGGGATGGCCCGGTTTGGTATGTCCCAGCACTCTCCCTGCACCCTGGATGCTCTGTTCTGCGCCCTCCTCCCTGGGCCCCTGCAGCCTCTTGGCTGGGTTCGGCGCTCCTCATCCTTTGGGAAGATCTACCCACTCGTGCACTTTCTCCCCTGGGTTCCCACCTCTCTGGCCAGTGACCGCTAGGAGCCGAGCCCCGGGGGGTGGCTTTTCTCTTCCGGTTTCCACTTCTTTCCGTCAGACCAGTGCCAGAGTGGCTCCTTCTAACCTAGACCACTGGCCTCCCTGGGGGTCGGAGTTCGGACCCTTCTGTGCACAGACTGAGGCCCACCTTTCTGCTCCCCATAGCAGCCACCTGCCTGAGGGCAGTCACCATTCCCCGGCCATGGAGAACTGTACGTCGGTGGCAGCGGACCCTGATAAGTAGTGCAGATCCCACGCACGCGCCCCCCGTGTGGGAGTGGCCACGTCTCCCTTTCTGAGCTGGCGGGTGAAGCTGGCAGGCCCGGTCACAGCAAGAAACAGTACCCAGCTGTATCTGTGCTGGCTGGGGTTAGCCACGGGTTATCAGGCCGCATGGAGGGGGGGGGGGCGTCAATATTGATAGTAGATAACATTCCGTTCCGCCAACATGGCTGGCCTTGCTCCCAATCCTCCGGGAGGAAGTCCCTCCTTGGGAACGAGGCGGAGGGGCTGGCCAGGAGCTAGGGTGACTCATACAGAGATTCCTCTGCCATTTGCCCAGGGCCATGGGAATCAAGGTGCAGTTGGGTCCATTCAGGCTGAGCCACAGGCGGGGAAAACCTGGAGGTGCAGGGAGTCCAGGGTAATGCTTTGAGCTGGGCCTTGTTCAGATGCTGGGGGCTGGAGTGGTCCCAAGAGAAAAGGGGGCTTTGGTGGCAGGTGTCAAGGGCGAGAGCAAACAAGTGAAAGAGCCACAATAAGGAAAGAGCTGGGCTTTTCCCTGTCCCTTCCTGTCAGCCCAAAGGGGCTTCCGCTCTCTGCAGTGTAGGCTGCCAGGACCCGTTGATGGGGCTGTGCACAGGTCTGGAAAGTCGGGGGCGGGAGGGGAGTATGTTTCTATCTCCGACTGCCTAGATGCCGACTGTCCTTCCAAATCCATCTCTGTGCGCTCCACCGTGCTGCAAGCACTGAACTCAACACACCAGAGACCCCCAAAGCCAGGACTGCCTGGGGTGCTACCAACCCCCATAGCACCAAAGAGCCCTATGTGGGAGACAGATGTGACCCACTCGGTGCAGAGCTCTGTCCCCTTCAGTGGCGGCTAGGCCACATACAAAGCCTGCTGTCGGCAGGGCTAACAGAGGTGGGGGTTTCAGCTCAGGCAGTAGAGACAGGTATTAAGATACCCAGATTCACCTCCTGCTGCTGCTAACCCAGCCAGGGGTGTGGTGTTGCTGTGTTAGAAGGATCCCGGGTTTTGCTAAGAGGACGGATCTATCTCTGTTGTAAATACCTGAGAGGCCAGTCGAACTGTGATGTGTTTTATACAAGTAATAAATGTTATTTTTTCATATCCTTGCTTTTATTTTGTACAAAAAAGAGAAAAATAACCCAAATTAGCACGAAGCCCTGTAAGAAGACAGATTTATCTCTATTTATATCTACTCCAAAATCTTCTCACTACAAATAAATCTCGTCTACTTCACACCTGGCTGCTCTGCTTTCCTTACGGCGATATGGTGGGGAGATGGGTCGGGGGAGTTTGGGATCCAGCCGCCTTCCCGCATTGGCGCTGACTTCTGATCTGCATGCAGCGTCAAACTCCGTGGGAAATTCCACGTAGGCCACAGCCAGGGAAGGGTTAAGCTGAAGGAGGGCTGGATCAAGGGAAAGGGGCCTGGAGGTGCGATCAGGAGCCAGGACTCCTGGGTTCTATGCTTGGCTCTCGGGATGACCTTGGGCAAAGTCACCCCCAGATAGGGCTGGAACTTGAGACCCAGGTTAAATTCCCAGCTCTGCCCCAGACTCCTTGTGACCCTGGGCAAATCACCTCATCTCTCTGGGCCTCCGTTCCCCAATCTGTCCCATGGGGATGATGCTTTTCCTACCTCGCAGAGCAGGGGTTGCGAGGCTGAATCCATGGATGTCCGAGAGGGGCTCAGGTATGTTCAGCTCTCACTGCGCCCATTTGTTGCCATGCTCACTAACCGACTCCCTGCAGTTGCCTGCCAGCAGAAGGGCGGCTGTTCCCATGGGACCAACACAGCCCTGGTCTGCCGCCCTGAGAAGCCCAGGAATCAGCCCCCTGCAGCGTTTCAGGCTGGTTCATGGCAATGCAAAACCAAGGAGGCTTGCAATGGCCTGAAGAGGGCTCTTTGCACCCGCTTGGCACGGCTCGGCCGAGAACCTTCCAGGTATTTTATCTGGAAGAACAGAAATCCACCCTCCCATCCCACCAAAGCACCCTGCTCCCACCTCACACAGTGCTGCCATTGTGCTAACTAACTGCCCTGCCTCTGACCCAGACCGTGACCTTCCTGCACAGTGCTCACTTGGACAAGGGCCCAAATGCAAGGCATGCTGGGTAAGAGGTTTTTGCCTGCCGCCTTAGTCCAAGTGGCGCTTTTTGTGCATCACGTGTGGTGGCAGCCAGATGAGATTAGCCAGGAATCATCGTGCAAATCCATCCTGAGATTAACAAGGCCCAGAAGGTTACGGTCTTGGGCGCTGGCCAGTTAGGAGCCAGGCCATCCTTTATTAGGGGTGGAAGGAAGGTCGGAGCAGGATGTGAAGACAGATCTGGGAGCTGCCAAGACCCCTTGAGAACTTCCAGCCTGAAAGCAACACTCTGAGTTCTCCTTCGGCAGGAGGATTTTGAGGGACCCCTGCTGCGCCTGCCCGGCTCATCCAGACCAGACCTCCCAGGTGCCCCGCTTTTCCCGGGAACGGCATGGCTCCCAAGACAGTGCTGATAACGGGCTGCTCCTCCGGCATCGGCTTGGCCTTGGCTGTGAAAATGGCCCGGGACAAACAGAAGCGGTTCAAAGGTGAGCGCTTCCCACATGTGCCCGGGGTGTCGGGCACACGGGCACGAATGCCCAGGTTGTGCCCGGATGGAGCTGGTACGGCTGGGATCATGGGAGACCCACGACTCCCCTGCAGCTGGGAGGGGCTGTGCCTTCCCACCGCCACACCCAGAACGGCAGAGTCCATCTCCCTGCCCCATGCCGCCAAACCTTGAGCACTGCAGCAGGATGGGGAAAGAAGAGCTGGCCAGCTCCCTCACCTGTCCTGGGGCCTTTCTGTGCCGGCATGCAGCCGGGCTGTGGGTGCATTTGGTACCCGGCCTATTGGACCCAGCCGGGAAGGGGTGAGGAACTAGGAACATGTTGCAGGAGTGGCGGGGCACAGGAAAAGTCTTTAAACATGAGGTGGTAAAATAAATAGTTTGCTCCAAAGGGAAAGAACTGGAGAGGGTGATGGGTCCTTCCCCTGCCCCTCTGCTCTGGGGCAGGGGCCCCAGCTTGGAACGCAAGTGGGACAACACAAGGGAGTGGGAGTAGCTGCCTTCCTCCTACCTGCTCCCCTCCCAGGATGGTTTGGGCACCTTAAATGTGATCCAGTGGCCGGGATCCCAGTAAGGGGAGGGGGAGAATCTGACCCAGTGGCCTGCATCTGAGTTAGCGTGACTGCCATCTTCCTTTAGGACATGGTGGGGGAGGCTAACCCCGACTAGCTGGTCCATCTCCCCAGGTCAATACAGGTCCGAAGGCCTTTTCAGGAGGGAATGGCTGCATGGCCTGCAGCAGCCTTGGGCAAGAATGTGCTTGGGGCAACGAGACACAAGCCAAGTCTGGAGTCCCCTCCCTCCATCTGGGCCCATGATGCCAGAACACCTACTAGGAGCAGCATGGCCCTGATGGCCCATGAGGCCCCGCATTGAGCCGAGGGTACCACACCTCCTCTGAACCCCCTGCAGCCTCTGGGGTGCATGGCCCTGGGATTTGCCTTCGCGGGCTGCTCCCCAGGACCAACCCCTGCTGCAGTGAGAATAGCAGGAGAAGCTCGTCGTGTATCGCGGCCCCCTCTACACCCGCCCTCCCCGCCCCCAGCCCTGCAGCATCACCGGGGTCTGTCCAGCTTCAGCACGCCCCAGTGCCTGCAGCCAGGCTGCTCTGTGTTACAGTCATTGCCACCATGAGGAACCTGGGCAAGAGGGGGTGCCTGGAAGCGGCCGCCGGCGTCACCCTCAACAAGACCCTGGAGATCAGGCAGTTGGACGTGTGCGATGAGCGATCCATCATCAGCTGCATCAACAGCATCCCTAACCGGCACGTCGATATACTGAGTGAGGTCCCCTGCTTGCCTCTGCCCAAGCCCCTGCTGCTGCCCCCTGTATGGGGCTCCCACCACATTCCTCCCACCACATTTCTTCCCCTTATCACCTGTGCTTATCTGCTCTTCCCATATATATCTGTGCTCCCCATGCCCCTACAAGTCCTGACCTCCCCTACACAGATCTACCTAAAAAGGGGAACAAAGAGGACCTAGGGAATTACGGACCAGTCAGCCTAACTTTGATACCTGGAAAGATACTGGAACAAATTATTAAACAATCAATTTGGGAGCACCTAGAGCAGTGGTTTGTGGTCCACGGACCCCTGGGGGTGCGCAGACTATGTCTAAGTTTTCCAAAAGGATCCACACCTCCATTTGAAATTGTTTAGGGATCCGCAAATGAAAAAAGGTTGATAACCCCTGCCTAGAGCAGTGCTTCTCAAACTATTGTACTGGTGACCCCTTTCACATAGCAAACCTCTAAGTGTGACCCCCCTTATAAA